TTATTTGCAATATCTAGTATATGTCTGAGTCAAGCAGAAAAGGTCAGATAAGTTGATGTTAGGGAAATGAACCCTAAGATATATATTCAAATTTTTTTTCTTTCATGCGATTGTTTCTAACACATTTATAAGATTATTTCTTTGCTGCTTTGTATGTCCCCCCCCCCTCCCACAGTATAACCCCTGTTTTCACTGTATTTGATGTTGGTATAATTTGTGGAGGGGAAGGGGAAAAAACAAATAGTTTAAATAGGGATACAGGTGGACCCATTGCAACAATGAGATGAACAAGTCCTTATGTTGAAAACAAACTTTACAACTTTGTTGTGGGTGAGGGGGGAGAGGTTTGGGTGGGGGACGGGGGAGGATGGGAAGGGATGGGAAGGGGAAACAAAGGAGAAGGCCACAATGCTTGATAAGAAATGTACTCATTATCTTGCCCATGCAATTGTAGCTCCTCTGTACAGTATTTTCACAATAAAAAACCCATAAAAACCAGCAAAATACTTAAAAATGCAAAATTATAAAGATAACAATAGCTACAATTTAGGAAGTACCTATTCAATATCATTCACAAAAAAGTATATCTCCCAGAAAAAAGGAAGAAGTTTGTAAATTCTACAAAATTTAGAGGACAGCCTGATGATTCAGACTCAAAAATGATTAAGGTTACTTTAGACCAGAAGCTTTAGAGAGAAAAGAATATTTAATTTGGAACATGTTGCTCTTCCTTAAAAGCATTCATACATATATTCTGTCTAACTGGAATTTGACAATCACCTATGCCAATTATGGTTATAAATAGATTAAAACATATATTCATATGGAAAGCAAACCACAAAAGCATTCATATAATGGTTATTGTGGTGGGGTTATGAATCTTTACTTTTTACAGTGAAAGAATTTCTCTTTGGCTTTTCTAAACTTTAAAAAATAATAAATTCCAAATTTAGAGAAAATTGGCATTTTGAAGTCAGATTAAAAATCAACAGTGGCATTATATTACTCACTGCCATCTCTTTTTGCTTCATAAATAGTTACACAAAAATTTTCAAAATGACTGAAATAAAATACAGCCTTGCTGTGATCATTAAAAAAAGCATTTTAAAACTACCTTTTGGTTGTCATTTACTGTGCCAAATTCTGCACATAAAACTAATAAGAGGGCTGGGAATGTGGCTTAGTAGTAGAGTGCGTGCCTAGCATGCATAAAGCCCTGTGTTCTATTCCTCAGTACCACATAAACAGAAAAAGCCAGAAATGGTGTGTGGCTCAAGTGGTAAAATGCTGGCCTTGAGAAAAAAGAAACTGAGAGACAATGTACAGGCCTTGAGTTCAAGCCTCAGGACTGGCAAAAAAATCTAATAAGAAAAATAGTGGTTTTTTAAAAAATATTAAGGAATGTACAAGACCAGGAATCTTAGCTATTCAGGAGGGTGAAATCTAAGGATTGTGGTTCAAAATCAACCTGGACAGAAAAGTGTGAGACTCTTATCTCCAATTAACCACCATAAAGCTGGAAGTGGAGCTGTGGCTCAAGTGGTAGAATGCCAAACTTGAGCAGAAAAGTCAAGGGTCAGTGCCTAGACCCTGAGATCAAGCCCCAGTACTGGCATAAAAAGAAAAAAAACAACGAAGAAATGTAAATGGAAAATCACTTTACTCTGGAGTACAAGCTTAGTGAGTATAGGGGAAATCTTATTTTTCTTTATATCCCTAGAAGATGGACATTTCAGTAAATGTTCAGTGAATTATTAAAACATGTAAATAGCTACTTTAATCATTTCTTTTTCACTTACACTTTTGGTAGTATCAATCCCTTGATACAACTGAATTTTTCCTGTCTTCCATCTTTCATCCCCATTCTTGGTTTCTTCCCATGCCAAGGCATTGTTACTGTTTTTCACAAACACTCGAAGTTTCCCTACTTTGTTTCCAGCCAGCCGGTAGTCAAAGAGTAAACAGAAGTTGCTTTGGGGTTGCAGGCCTGGCAGGAGAAGTTTCAATCGGCCGACATCCTTCTTGTGCCCGGCCAATGCTGGAACTGCCATATAATAGCCAACGGCTTTAAGAGAACAAGAATGTACAGTCAATGAAGCCATTGGAAAGGGGTTGGCTACAATATATAAAATAGCTATAGAAATGGACAACACTCTCCCGCAGAGAAAGCTGAAGTCCTTTATTATCACTTTGAATATTTGAAAAAAATGTTCATGCTAAAATGAAGTTTTGGAATTACAGAGTTGCAACCCTTCATTATATAGAGAAGGAAACTGAGGAATGTGTCCACATTCATCAAGCTTGGTCATAGTAGATAGGTTAACCTTGCCTTCGGTCTTCAGTGTTAGTCTCACAGGAATGTGATGAATCCTCTCAAATCTAACCCCGAATTCCAAAAGGGATTCTTGTTAGGAAATATTGAAATTTTCTGATTGTACATTAGGTTTAAAAGAAAAAAAATCTCTAAGCGGAATTAGTTTCAAGGAAGTATCAAGAAGGAGGATCTTTTAGCTGAAGGTAGAGACTATATATTCCCAAGGAAATAAGTTTACTAGTAAGGAACTGGTATCCCAGATGTATAACAGGTGTCCTTACTTATATAGTCATCCTACAGAAGACAGAAATTCAGTATGGGTTGTAAAAGACATGTGTAAGACAAAATGCTCTTCTCAAGGAGGAAAGCTAGTGTTCATCAATAACGTTGAATTAGGCAGTAGAAAGGGCAGGTCATCCACAGGTTAGGGGTGACAATGAGAAAAATTCAAAGTCAGGACTGGCAAGACATCTGCCAGTAGGGGCTGGGAAGGTGGCTCAGTGGTAGAGGGCTTGCCTTGCATGCCTGAGGCCCTGGGTTCGATTCCTCAGCACCACATAAGCAAAAAGAAAAAAAGCCAGAAGTGGTGCTGTGGCTCAAGTGGTAGAGCGCTAGCCTTGAGCTGAAGAGCTGAGGGACAGCGCCCAGGCCCAGAGTTCAGGCCCCACGACCGGACCCTCCCCCCAAAAAAAGAAAGAAATCCTCCAGTAACAGAAGAGAAAGCTCAAGCCAGGATTTAAAGTCATGGACTTCACACTATCATGATGTAATTTTTTAATGCTTTGAAAAATGAGTGCAGGAGATGACTACATCAAGGTTGGAGATAATAATCTAGAGATAATTGCTAGAGATAACAATCTCTTTTAAGATGTTTTTCTTCCAGAAACACAGAAAACTACAGAGAAACATGGCTAGTGTACAAGAGAAAAGGAAGAATACCTTTCTGCCTTTCCCCCAATGCTTCAAAACTTTATGTGATTCCCTACATCTTTCTCTCCCAGAAGAGGAGTTGGTAAATATAAAAGTTGGTGAAGCAGCACTTGGTGGGTCAGGTAGGTTCAGGGGAGATTATGATAGAGAATATATGCTGGATCAAGTGAGACATCCATTTGGGAAAACTGTGGAAGGTCTAAATATTTCCAAAGATGACAAACCACCCTGACCTAAGGAGTGAGAGGATCAATAACCCTCCACCAGTGGAAAGCCTTTTTGTTTTTGTTTTGTTTTTACCTTTGCCATATTACAGAACATGAAATAGTTAAATCTAAATACCATTATCTCGATCAGCAGGATTCCAGTCAAAATCATCTTCTCTGTCCTGTTTCCAGTCACAGACCCCATGATCAAAGCTGCAGTCAACTGAGATGTTTAAATCTGATTTTAAAAAAGACACATTTTTACAACCATTCAGTATATTAGAGCCAGGGTGCTAGTAGCTTACATCTGTAATCTCAGCTACTCAGGAGGCTGAGATCTGAGGGCAATGGTTTGAAGCCAATCCAGGCAGGAAAGTCTATGAGACTCATCCCCAATTAACTACTAGAAAACAGGAAATGGTACTGTGGCTGAAGTGGTAGACTACTAGCCTTGAGCAAAAGAAGCTCAGGGACAGCACTGAGGCTCTGAAGGCCAACACACACACACACACACACACACACACACACACACACACACGCACACAAGAACATCAGAAAAATAGCTAACATTAGGAGACACATACAGACATCACACACAAGAACATCAGAAAAATAGCTAACATTAGGAACTTTGGAAGGCAAAGTCATATTTTCAGTTGCAAAGAGTACAGATCATGGAAACTGAATTGCTCATAGGGTTGCCCTATTTTTACTTAAACCTGTGAAGACATTCTCAACACATTTAGTTGTGATCTTAAAAAAGGACAATAAAATAAAAAATAAAACAAGTAATAGGCAAGATCTGCATGAGCAAAGAAAAACAGGGCATACAATCAATTGTTCATAAAATTCTGGCCAGAAAAATAAATTGTCTTCTACCCAAATAAATAAGTAAAGATCTTGCCAGAACTTTCTAGATTATTTGTACAATACAAAATTTCACATATAATATGACTAATCAACATTTTAACTTAAGAGTGTAAATGTGTTTTTTTTCCTTTGCTGTATTTTATGATGTTTTCACATCTGGAGTGTGCTTACAGATCTAATTATCCAGGGTAAGAAACTTACTTGGGGTCATATCTCATACACACAAGCCAACCACCCCATATATCTAATTCTCATGCGTTGTCATGGTTGGCATCTGAACTATTCTCTAAAGATTGTATGACCAAGAAGTGGTAGCCAGCCTGTGGTGTTACTGGCCCATAGTACAAGCCTTGGGAAATTGGGCCTAGTGGAAGGAAGTGAGGTAACTAGGGGGTGTGCCTTTGAAAGGGGATTCTGGAACTGCCCTTTCTTCTCTTTCTGCTTTCTGACTAGGAGAATTAGCAGTGTTATATTCTGCCACACACTTTGCCGTAATATTCTGTTTGCCACAGGTCCAGAGCGGTGCGCCTAAATAACCACAGGCTGAAAACCTCTGAAAGCAGGAGTCAAATAAATCTTTTATCCTTATCAGATGATAATCTCAAATATTTGGTTATGTTGATGGGCAATTGACTAACATGACCACCAAGTCAGTATTTCCCCTGCCATAAATCATTCCAGGGTCAGGTACCAAACAGTTGAGGACAGCTCTTGTGCTTTAAAGCTCTTTGTAAGCATTCCAGTTAGTCAATCCTAAGTGTTTTCCTCTGCCCTCCCTTGCTTCTTCTCATAGAAAGGCTGAGGCCTACATTTTTCCCTGCCTTATGTCTCTGTCTCTTGATTGTAGATGTTCCCCCTGGGGCCTGTGTGTTCCCACCTCTTGGGAAATCTAACTTACGAATCTAACGTATGTCCTCTTCATATTACTCAGTTACTTCCATCAATTAAAATCTCATGAGCTCAAATAATAGCTAAAGTAACAAAATTTTCCTCATAATTCTGACATTCCAGTTAGAAATTTGCCACCAGTAGGTTGGATCAAATATTCTGAGACAATGCCAGTTTCTACATTGTTTCTGGGTTCTTCATGCTAGAATGACTCCCTTGTTGAGAGAAATATAGTTGGAGTCAACTAGAACAAATTTTGAACCAGTGCCTGTGGTTACTTTTATGTAGAGCTGAGGCCACCAAACGAACATCCTGGCTTACTGCCCATTTTTGTATAGTTTTATTGAAACCCTCTCTGTTCATAAATTTATATATCTATGTGGGCTACCTCTGAGCTATGAGGACAGAGGTGAGGAGTTCCTCCAGAGATCATGTGATCTACAAAGCCTAAAGTATTTATTATCTGGCCCTTCAGGATAAAAGTTTGCTGACTTCTGATGCAGATTAAAAAAAATACCAGTATGAAAGAGTGAGAAGATGGAGATACTTCTGATTTAAAATGAAAGCTAGCCTCTGGCTCTGATTTTGGAGTTTCAGCTATATATGTCAAGAAATAAAAGAATACAAGGAGGGAATAAGTATCTTTTTCTTGACTCATTTCAAATTGTTAAATATTTTCACAAACATTCTGTCACCCCTATGGTTTTCACATATTAAAACATGAATTTGTAGCTCACATATCTGACTTAGGTGCTGCTTTGCAGACCAAGATGCATATTTAATAGCCAGCTGCTCGTGTCTCAAGCCTGTAATCCTAGCTACTCAGGAAGCTGAGATGTGGTTTGAAGCCAGTCCAGGGAGAAAAAGCCATGAGAGTCCATCTCCAAAATAACCAACAAAAAGATGGGCTGAAGGCAAGGCTCAACTCAGAGTACCAGCTGATGAAGCCAAGTGCATGTGAGCTTTTCAGTTAAGAAAAAGTCTATCATCAGAGCCTCAGAACTAAAATTCATAAGCAATCTGTCCAAATTCCATGGACACTAAGTGATGGAAGCGAACCTGAATCCTAAACCAGACTGAAATCCAAGATGTTCATTCTGTACATATCCTAAGTCAGCACAAGCACAAATGACCTACCTCACCAGCCCATAAACGCACGAGCAAAAAAATCAATAAATATTGCTGTGGGCCAATTCCAGTTTGTAGTGGTTTGTTATTCAGCATTACTATTGTAAGAGTAAATGATTTTGGTGGGAATTTTCAGGTTGTAGACATTCTGGATATAGACAAATGAGTAAATTTCTCCCATCTTCAACATATAGTCTGCCTGAAATTATTACTCTCAAGTCATGTGAGAATGGAAGAAACTAACCTTACTTATTTTGTAACTATTGACATTAATCTCACAGGACCTACTATTTTCAATGCTGGTATTGTATGTCATGGTACAATGGTTTTTCCCTTGACAGTTTATGAATGAAGCAGTAATTTAAAAGTAAAAACCTCATCCTATGGAGAAATGAATATGGACAATATGAGAGAATATATACGTAGGAGAAAGAATTGTTTACCTTTGTGCTCCAGTTTGGAATTTAGAGATTTTCTTTGGGTCAGAACCAGATCCAAGTCACCTTCTTCATTAACCTTAGGGGCTGAAAAAGATCACTTGATCAGTTATGAAGAAAAGAGAACCAAATCCACACATGTTCAGAAAGAATGAATTCAATGACTGCAAAAAGAAGGTTTTTTTTTTTTATCATGTATTCTATTTTTTTTTTGTTGGCCATGGGGCTTGAACTCAGGGCCTGAGCACTATCCCCGAGCTCTTCTGCTAAAGGCTAGAGCTCTGCCACTTTGAGCCACAGTCCCAGTTCTAGTTTTCAGGTGGTTAATTGGAGATAAGAGTCTCACAGACTTTCATGCCTGGGCTGGCTTCAAACTGTAATCCTCAGATCCTCCTTCGAAGCTAGGATTACAGGTGTGAGCCACCGGTGCCCAGATAATCATGTATTCTAATGACAGAATATATTGGAGTAGTGTCCCTCCCCCCACTATTTTCCAATCATTCACAGTGTCCTCATCTAGACAACATTTTCCCCCAGAAGTTTTTTTAAATGAACTAAGTCCATCTTTTCTCACCAGGTTTTGTGGTTATACTTCCTTGAGATTTGTACTAGTAAGGAGGTAATGTGACTGGTATGATATTTCTTAGACAGGTGGTTTCATTTCTAACTTATCTTTTGGTCAGTTACAACTGGCATTTATATATATGATCACCAGTCATAGAACCAAAACAGACAAAGCAAAATATAGAGTAATCAATGAAGACCCAATAAGAAGAACATGAAGAAGTTCAGTGTGGGGATCTGGGCTGGGTTAATATGGAAACTGACCAAGAGGGACTGAGACCTATGGAGAGTTCTATACTGCACCCATTATAAAGAGATATATAGCAATTAGCTTGTTTATGCAGAAAATTAAGCTCCACTATAACATTTCCCCTATGCCTTTCTATTTTGACTTTTAATCACCATAACCCTATGACTGTGAAGTTCCCTTTTCATAGCAAGAAGTAGCTTGGCAGACTTATGTGGTAAGGATCTCTCTAATTTGGGGTAGGAGTGCATTAGAGGGAGAGCTTGGTTGGTAGACCACTGTGCCCACAGGAACAGCAGGTTTCCTGCATTGGTGGGTATGTGCCATGATGGAAGTCCCAAGGTAAGGGAACAGAATTTACTTTCTTCATTTCCCAGAGCAGCAGATTAAGACCTGTGTAAAGAGCTCTCTATACCTTACACAGTGCTCTGCTTCTCAGGATTTAAGGGCCTTCCCTTCCCTTCACCCTTCCCCTTCCCTTTTTTCCTTCCCCTTCCCCTTCCCCTCCCCTCCCCTCCCTTCCCCTTCCCTCCCCTTCCCTCCCCTTCCTTTCTCCCCTCTCCCTTCTCCCTCTCCTCCCCCCTCTCTGTTTGTGTGCTAGTCTTCTGGGCTTAAACACAGGGCCTGGGTGCAATCTCACAGCTTTTTTTCTTTTTTCCTTTTTTTTTTTTTTGCTTGAGGCTAGTGCTCTCCCACTTGAGTCATCACTCCGTTCTTGGCTCTTGGGGCAGTTAATTGGAGGTAAGAGTCGCATGGACTTTCCTGCCTGGGCTGGCTTCGAACCACAATCGTAGGATCTCAGCCTTCAGAGTAGCTAGGATTACTGGTGCGAGCCATGGGTACCCGGCCCAGCATTTCTCTTTAAGGCCTGAAACTGGTTTTCCTTTCATTTGTGAGGAAGGATCATAATTCATTTATTCGCTAAGTGTATAAATAACAAGAGTGATACTTACAAAACACATCTCCTCGAAGGCTTCGTTCCTGCTCCACATCATTCTTCAAGGCTTTCTCTAATGTTTTCTCTTCCTCAAGCCCCTCTTTCATTCTCTCTTCCTTCCCTGGCTTTTCTCTATTAGTGTGACCATTCCTGGCAACACTCTCTTCAGGACTGAAGGACTGCAAGTTAACCTTAGGGGGGTGAGTGCCAGTGGGTCCTGGGGTGACAGTTTGGATTCTCAGCTTCTTTTTCATGCTGTTTTTGTGAGCAAGCAACTTTTTGATTCTGTCTTTGATGGGCCCAGGTATTTTGCGGCTTTCCTTCACAGACTTTTCAGGGATAACTGAAACACAGGTGAGAAGATCCAGATTGGCTGATAATTAGCTCACCCTTGAACAATGGACCATTTTGGAAGTATTAAAAGTGCAATAAGTGAATGCTTCTAGAATCAACTCATATGAGGTTGAGTTCTTTTTAAATGCTGTCACCCTTTTCCCCATTTTCTCCCGTTTACCCCTCCCCCCGCAAGTTGTAAAGTTCATTTCCAACATAGTGTCTAGTGAGTATCATTGTTGCATTAGTTCATCCTTTGTCCTTGCCGCTGGTTTTTAACAGTTAAAATGTCATGGCATTTATCCTATTTACCTTTTGTTACAGGAAACATTTTATTTTGCTTCAGAAGCTATTTTAGTAAAAAACAAAACAAAACTTGGTACTACCTAGTTAGGCTACAGATTCCAAAAATAAAGTGGATTTTCCAGGGTCTACTGATATTTCTATTTTTCTGAAGAGAGATCTGATGTTCATATACTGTTTTACCACCAAGTTAAACCATAAATATTTTCTGTCATGATCCCTTTGTGAAATGTAAAACTGGTGTATATGGATCTAATTTTCCTTTCCCCTTCTCTTTGCTTAAAATTTTTTTCAGCTCAGTCAACCACTATCTGAAAACAAAATGTTTTTGTTTATTCAATTTATAAAAAAGAGTCTCCTATATTAACTTTTATATTAATTTCCGATTTATTTATTTTTGGTGGTATTGGAATCTGAACTCAGGGCCTCATGCTTGATAAGCAGATGCTCTCCCACTGAGCCATTACTCCAGACCTTTTTTTGAGATAAGGTCACATTTTCTTCCAGGCACATATGTATGAACCATGATCCTCTTGTTTTCTGTTTATAATGTAGCTAGGATTATAATCACATGTTACTACATCTTGCTGTTCACATTGAGGAGTCACCTCATGGACTTTTCTGCCTGAGCTGGCCTGAAACTGTAGTTCTCCCAATTTCAGTTTCCCACATAGCTAGGATGACAGATGTGAGTCACTGGTACCTGGCTTCATTTGCTATTTATTAATATTAAGTTGCTTTAAAAAACATACCTCTAGCTAGCCCAGGAAGAAGAACCCATGAGACTCTTACCTCCAATTAACAACCAAGAAGCCAGAAGTGGAGTTTTGGCTCAAGTGGTAGAGCACTAACCTTGAGCACAAAAGCTCAGTGTCAGTGCCCAAGCCCTGAGTTTCAAGCCCAGGACCAGCGTGCGCGCGCACGTGTGTGTGTGTGTGTGCGCGCACACACACACACACACACACTATTTATCTAGATCAATTCTTCCTATTTTGATGTGGATCAATGACTTGGGGTGGGAGTGAGGACTGAATGGCTAGTGTAGAAGGTCTCAGGAGGTATTTGATAAGGCTTTCAGCCCAATATTATAGATCAGGTACCTGGAAATGCAAAGTGCCTTACTCAGGGTCACTCAGCTAGCTAGGAGCTGAGCTAGAATTTGAGGGTGAAGTATATGAACAACTGATTTTTCAATTCCTATTTTCATGATAGGTTTATTCCTGCTTTATGGCTTAAGGCCATTTTGCTCTAGACTGGCTCAAATTCCTTGAGATTTATGATTCAAAGATACATATCCTTTCCCAGGAATATTCTCATAACAATGATGAATGTCCAAATGATGGTAAAAATGTAATTGGTTAAAAATTAATAGCACTGATACTTAAAATCAAATACATTGTCCTACTAGAAACTCTTTGGGGAGAAGCTAGTCTAACATTACATAAGAAAGGGTCTGATAACTCCCGAGTCAATTTACTCAAATCCACTACTTAAATATAGTTTAGAGGGAATTAAATTCTGATGCCAAAATGAATATTGTGGATAGAGGTTGGAGTGGGATTTTATTAGAATATTTTTCTTGGCAATGTTTTAATCTTTTCTCTTCCTTCCTTCTTCATCATTTGGCTAATTTAATTTTTTCCCAAAGTTAAAAATAAATAAAGAGTAGTTTGCATTTTTCTTTTCTGTGTAATCAAAAGGGAAAGAAAGTTCTTTGAAAATGTATATGCTCTTTATACAGTGCTTTTACTTTGACATCAGTCTACAGTTAGTAGGACATAAGTACAATATGCTTCTTTTCAATGAGACATTTTAGTTATTTCTCATTGTGACAGCTTATATGTATTTGGCACAAAATGAACTAGCACTAATAAAAGTAATACATCACTACTTATTTTCCTGACCTTCGCTTGGCCTGTTTTCAACTTCTTTGCCAGAAGTTGTATTGTTAAGTTTTGTTTAGAATGTGCTGATTATATATAGGTGTTTATGGGAGGCCTCACTACCTAATTTTATGTATGCATCTCTGAATCATTCACAGTATGCAGTGTGAATAATTAAAAGGAAACACCCATTCCTTGTAAATTTCCTTCATGTAAGCAGTAACATAAAACTAAGGACCTTTAATAAATGAGTAGGTTGCAGTGTACTCCAAACAAACCTAAACATCTGCTTTTAGTTTTTGCTTTGAAGTTTCAAATGTTCTTGTTGAAAACAAAAACAAAATCAAAACATTACAACCTTTGTAGTGTCAATAATTTCATTCCCTCAGTATGTACAAAGAAAACTGAGCGAAGATGAAAATGCATATACATAACTGCATTTGGCCTTATCTAGGTACTGCTGTTTTGAATTTGATATAATAAATGATTATTTTCTTTTAAAATGTCTTAACAGATGGACAGAGGAAGGGTGGGTGAGTAAAGTCTTCCTACTTAATGTGCATATGTGAAAATGGAACTAGTTAACTCTAGGGGACGGGTGGGGCTGGAAGAGATGGGGAGAACAATGGAAGGGTGACATTGATCAAGATATACTCATAAACTGAAGTGTTGAAATCCATTTTTTACAGTTACTTAAAGTAATGATTTTAAAAAGTCTTGATTGTTGTGTCATCTTTTTGATAATATAAAAATGGGTGAGGGGAAGGTCCTGATGGCTCATACCCATAATCTTAGTTACTTAGGAGGATGAGATCAAAGGACTTGGTTCAAAGCCAGCCCAGACAGGAGCGTCTGAGACTTGTATTTCCATTTGATAATCTAAATCTGAGCTATGGTTCAAGTGGTAGAGTGCCAGCTTTGAGCAAAAAAGCTAAGAGACAGTGCCCAAGCCATGAGTTTATGCCCCAGTACTGGTACTGAAGAAAAATAATGGTGAGTTTTCTATAAGCCTGGGGTCCTCTCAAGGGTACACCAAAAAGAAATGTTCTAAAAAAAATCTCTTCAGACATAGCACATATGGGATAAAGTCTTTTGTGTTGAGAGGGCCAAGTTGTAATTGTTAATAGCAGTGACATCTTTTAGTTGTATCTGCATATTAAATTTATAGGTTTTTTTTCCTGTCGATCATGGGTCTTGAACTCTGGGCCTGGGCACTGTCTTTGAGCTCTTCAGCTCAAGGCAAGCACTCTACCACTTGAGCTACAGCAGCACCACTTCCGGTTTTCTGGTGGTTAGTTGAAGATAAGAGCCTCACAGATATTCCTGCCTGGGCTGGCTTTCAATGGAGATCCTCAGATCTCAGCCTCCCGAGTAGCCAGGATTATAGGTGTGAGCTACCAGCACTTGGCTTTAAATTTATAGTTTTAACTTGTGATCATTAAATCATTCATCAGCAAGAGCAATAGGATTCTTTGTAAGAAAGCAGGGAATCCAGTGCATCCTACTTGGTTTCTATTGTGCATTCTGGAAAAAGTCCTGATGAAACAATGTTGTAATTGGAAAAACATGCATTGATGTTCTTTCAGTTTTATGCCTACAACTTTAGTGAGAATTGTAAATGTGGTCATCTAGCAAAGAACACAGGGCTGAGGCAGAGTTAAATTTAGACACTGCACTTAGAAAGAAAAGAAGGAGGGGAGGGAGGAGATAGGTTGGGGTAAGAAGAGAAGGAAGAGGAAGAAAAGAAGAGGAAGAGGAGGAACAGGAGGGAGAGTGGTGGGAGGGAACAAGGAAGTACCGAGAGACTGCTTTGTTGGGAATAACAAAAATCTCATGACCAAATACTACTTACCAGAACATAGAAGTCCATTGCCTTTATATCCTTGCTTGCATTTGCACTTGAAGGATCCTTGGGTATTGAGACAATTGGCATGGAGACTGCACGTATGGGTATTCACAGCACATTCATTTATATCTAAAATCATGAACATTCCAGTGAACAACTTTATGGTAATAGGACTTGCTGAAAGAATATCTCTTATCCTTGACCAACTCCAAGGCCAAATACTCAACACCATAACAAACCAAGTATTTGTTGTCTGAGAATTGAGAGGTGTTCAAAAAATCCAGGCCTACTGGCCTAGAGTCTTGGCTTTGCCTGACTCCTGCCTGAGATGTGAGGAGTATGTAGGCAGCTCATCTCCCACATACCAATTTTATGTCCTAGTTATTAATGCCATTGAAATTTGTAACATGTTTAGGTTTTTGTCTTAGCATACTCATCTGTGTGATATAGAGCTAAATAACAATATGAGAAAATACAATCTATATTAGGAAGCGCTTGAAGCTCCAAAGGAACAAAAAGTCAAGACCAGCCAGGAATCATTGACATCATCTGAGTTCATACGCATGGACATTTTGTGCACAGCCTGCTTAGAAGAAGGAGTCAGGCTGGTCTGAACTCGTTTGCTGGATTTACAGGAGGAAAATTAGCTAAATCTCTCTTAAGTCAGAGGTTCATTTGTTCTATTCTCCTTTCCACTTTTGATCTATGCCATTTGTAGACATGAGGACAAAAAATAGCTTATTGTTTTCTATTGGGTCACAAGAGAAGCTCAGATGATAATCTTAATCACTTTTCAAACATGGAAATTGGTTTCCTTGTGAAGCTCTCAGTGTGGATGCACAGCTCGTCCTGGGGAATTTCCCTGTGATGATCGGTGAGCAGGGGGACACTCTGTAACACAGTGATTGGATTACACAGCTGAATGGTCTGCAGGGGTGGGGACCAAGCTCATGGCAGACACAGGTTTGATGAGCCTGTCAAGGGTGGGCTTTGCATTTGAGAACATTTCGGGGAAGAGCCATGGAGATTTCCCAACATGGTTCAAAACCCAGTAATGGAGTATTACCCCCCAAATGAGTACACAAAATATGTTATGAGAAGCCCTGAGTGTAAGGTTGAAAGAAATTGTATTTTTTCCAACTGTTAGATTTTCTTGTCATGCACATACCTTTGTTACACAAGTTTATGTGACTAGAAATCTAGAAGGAACCCAAATTTCCCTTTACTATAGGACAGCATGTCCAGGGCAATGGAGATGCATCCAAGGCTTCCCCAAATATACTATCTCATATATTCTTTGAGACTTGGAACCCCAATAACAAGGCATCAAATATTTGATTTTATACAGATCAAGCCACTAACTTGAGTGGTACCAGGATGTGAAAAGATTTTATTTGGAAATTGAACCATGACAGGGCTAAAAGAGGAAAGAGGACTGAGTATGAACCCTTATGTCTTTCATATTTTTTTTTGTTGGTCGTGGGGCTTGAACTCTAGGCCTGGACACTATCCCTGAGCTCTTCAGCTCAAGGCTAGCACTCTATCACCTGAGCCACAGCATCACTTCTGGTTTTCTGGTGGTTTATTGAAGAGTCTCATGGACTTTCCTGCCTGGGCTGGCTTTGAATCTCGATCCTCAGATCTCAACCTCCTGAGTAGCTAGGATTATAGGTATGAGCCACCGGCGCCCAGCTGATGTCTTTCATGTTTTTTTTTTCCTAAAGCGATCCTTGATGAACGATGTTATGAATGGACTAATGAGATTGTTAGTCTTCCTTTCTCAGATATAAATACCACTGTGTTGTTTCCATTTTTAGAGTGCAGTTTGAGATAGAACCAAAAATATAAGCAAAATCCTACCAATTAAAAATCTCATTGATTTGAAATCAGTAATGAAGGAGAAAGTCCCTATGATACCAACTCAACCAATAAAATCTAGTGTGGAAGGGTCCTCTCATTCCAGCTATAAAGGAAGCATACATAGGAGGCTCATGGTTGAGGATTAACCAGGAACAAATGCAAGACCTTATTAAAAAAGCAAGCTAAAGGGGCTGGGAAGGTGGCTCAGTGGTAGAGCACTTGCCTTGCATGCATGAGGCCCTGGGTTCGATTCCTCAGCACCACATAAGCAGAAAAAGCTGGAAGTGGTGCTGTGGCTCAAGTGGTAGAGCACTAGCCTTGAGCTGAAGAGCTGAGGGACAGTGCCCAGGCCCAGAGTTCAGGCACCATGACTGGCAAAAAAAAAAGCAAGCTAAAAAGGTATGGGGCACGGATGAAGTGGTAGAACACCAACTTTCAAAGAGAAAAGCCCTGAGTTCAAACAACAATATTGTAAAGAAAAAAATCCCATAGAAATTATGGGGCAATTGCTTTAAGTCTTTATAGACCTGGTTTCATAAATGATGCCATTGGAAATCCCCGAAATGCCAGAAAGGTGGACAATTCACCCTTTATTGAATTGTTAGGCTAGTCAGTATAATAGATGATTCAATGAACAGATTGAATTGGCATGAAAGTATTTCTAGAGAAAGTCTACAGGCTTACTGGAGAGAGGAAAACAGGAAAAGGTAACACTGAGTCTTACCTACACAGTCATATCGACCACTGATATATTTCAGCTCAAAACCAATGTGGCATTTGCAATAGTAGCTTCCAAATGTATTCACACATCTTCGATTATGGGGGCATGCTGCTTTACCAGAGGAACATTCATCAACATCTAGGGTAGAAACGCAGAACGGGTCAATAATAGCAAGAGAAGTATCCTGAGTACCCACATGCCCACATTCTTGCAACCCCTCCTCCTCCATCAACACGTAGTGAGCATGTACATGTGTGGTTTTCTTGTCTAGAAAATTGATTCTTATGCCAATAGCACATCTTCTGGAAAGTATCCTAGGTCTCTACCAGGCACACACACAATCATTTTTGTTTGAGTTATCACCTTGCTGTAAAGTCATTACTTAAGAATTACTTAAGTAAGTTCATATCTGCTCTCATGTTAGGACCTAGATCACCTGGGGTAGGTAGCGGGTGGGATAATTAGCACCTATGCATTATATGGATTCTAAAAAAAGAAACATTTCCCCAGCTACTCATTATATCACACAACAAACACCATTTTCGAAAATGGAATCAACTATACTTTAAGCAAAACAAATGCACAGACATTTATGATGTGCATTTTACATAAGAATTAAACAGCAATTTCCTTCAAGACTCCAGTAATGAGGACTCAAATTACAGAAATGTGACTGTATATATGCAGAAACATAGGTCAAGTGAAATTGTCTAATGGTGTTATTTTAGGGCACAATAGTTGTGTTCATTTTCTACCAAGAGAGTGATGTCAGAAAGTGGGGCTGGCAGCTATCCGTATCAACTCAGCAGGACTCCGGCTTTGCTTTAACATTCAGACATCAAATCAGAAATCTGATGTTTTGTTGTCCTTTTGAACCTGTGGTTAAACCCACAAGTTGTTGCTGGCTTGTTTCCCTCACAATGGTAAGATGACAAATAAGTCCTAGATGGACAAAAATCCTCGTCCCATGTTTATTTTCATGCATATAATCATTTCCTTCCAATTTAAAGGGCACCCAACAAACCAAAGAAGTGGGCAGAAATTTGGATCCAGCTTTGCCAAGATTTAGCCTCGTTGTATAAATATCATACTAAACAGTACTAAACTGCATAGACCAAATTAAATCTTGGATTACTCTCAAAGAGAAGACATACTGTTAATTTACATAAACGTTAACAATGTTTAATTGATTCAGGACCTTGTTGGTTGAGCATATTAAATGAAGCCTATCAAATTATGTATGTTTAGGATAAATAAACATCTAGTACCTTGACTGAAAAAAATATCCTTCTTGCTCCAACACCTACCTAGGCCAGTCTGACTTTCTTTGGTGGCCTCACAGTGACAAGATGGCTACCTCAGCTCCAGGTGTCATTAGTATTTTACAGGCAAAACTAAGAGGACAATGTGGTGCTGGGAAATCAACAACTCTTTCATGTTTGTCCTTTTTATCAATAAGTAACATATTTCCAGATGCTGTACCTCCTCCATTGTATTTTTCTTTATACTTCTTTGGCCCACTGCTGCCTTCTATCAATGAAGGTCAGCCTTTGTGGAGAGCTATCCAGCACCTCAGCGGGAACACTCAGAGGTGGCCCTGTCCCTCCTTTGTCTCCTATTGGTTCCCATAGTCCATTTAACCTATTCCTTGAATTCACCCAGTCTCATTGCCTTCCTTTCCCTGGGCCCCCGACCTATTCCTCAAACAATGTTTCCTGAGGTTACCTCCCAAGTTAACTACTTGCGGTGGCTCCCACACCTAAACTATAACAGAAATCCAAGGGAGAGCAAGGAGACCAAAATTCTACATTGTGGGTTTGATTAAATTCACAGCAACAAATGAAAGCATTATGTGTTTCTAATATGGTTGATTTAATCTGCTCATTTTCTCCAATCATAAGTTATGGAACACTTAGTTTATAAAATTCACAGCACGGTTTACAAATAATGTGAAATCCATTACATGATAATTTAAACAAGGTGTAAGATATGTTCTTTTCACTAATGAAATGCAGAAAAAAAGTAAACACATTTTTCCAGGAAAATATTCACTAGAACTTTGAAATGAAGTCTGATAGCCCCTTATGCCCTTACTCATTGAGTAGTGAAGTGTCTACTGGATGACAATTGAAGTAAAATATGCAAGGTCAGTGTGCTAAAATAAAAATACTTTTATCATTTTTCTTACTATGGCATTAAACAATCAGGAATTTTTTTGAACATAAAAATGTATATCTAGCCGGGTGCTGGTGGCTCATGCCTATAATCCTAGCTACTTAGGAGGCTGAGATCTTAGGATTGCAGCTCAAAGCCAGCACAAGCAAGAAAATGTGTGAGACTCTTATCTCCAATTAACCACCAGAAAACTGGAAGTGGCACTGTGGCTTAAGTGGTAGAGTGCTGGCCTTGAGCTGAAGAGTTGAGGGATAGCGTACAGGCCCAGAGTTCAAACCCCATGACTGAGAAAAATTATATATATATATATATATATATATATATATATCACAAATAGCTAAAAACACTGTACAAGAAATAGACAAATCATGTTCATTGCAGCACTATTCCCCATAGCTAAGATATACAATCAGTCCAGACGCCCCTCACTGGATCAAGAAAACGTAGCATGTACACACAATCTAATTTTACTCCTCTATTAGAAAGAGAACGATATATACCATTTGTGAGGAAATGGAAAGACTTGGAAAAAATATATTAAGTGATGTAAGGCAGATCCAGAGAAACACAGGTTGCATGCTTTCCTTCATTTGTGGTACATATAATGTACATATAAATGTATAAGTGAACACATTGGGTGGTATGCAAATGGTTACACATGAATTAACAGAAGTCTAATAGATTCTATGGAGAGCTCAAATAGTATAATCTTTTAGAAAGACTAAGTCAAATCCCCAAAAAATCATCACCAGGAAATAGGTACATGCAAGAGGCAGGGTGGAGCTAAGGGGAGAGGAGTAGATGAATGAAGGGGGGGGCAGCGAAGAGGGAAGAATGCAGTCAAGAATTCATTGTTTGGGGCTGGGAAGGTGGCTCAGTGGTAGAGCGCTTGCCTTGCATGCCTGAGGCCCTGGGTTCGATTCCTCAGCACCACATAAGCAGAAAGAAAAAAGCCGGAAGTGGCGTTGTGGCTCAAGTGGTAGAGTGCTAGCCTTGAGCTGAATAGCTGAGGGACAGTGCCCAGGCCCAGAGTTCAGGCCCCACAACCGGACCCCCTGCCCCCAAAAAAGAATTCATTGTTTATACCAAAAAATTAAGAAGAGTAAGGGAAGGTATGGGTTGAAGTGGAGGATGAGAATGTTGAAGGGGGTGACACTGATCAAGAGGCATCATATTCATAAACTGCTTTGCTAAGTGGAACCTCATTTGTACAACCTCATAAAGATATCACTAAAATTTTAAAAAATGAACAAATCTTCACATTTAGGAGTTTGCAATATTTAGTCAGTAAGTTGACTATGGTAAGTGAATGATGGGGATTCAAGGGAGAAGGAGGAGGAAGAAGAGAAGGAGGAAAAGGAGGAGGAGGAGGAATGATGGAGGTGATCCTTGCTGTTCTACCTAGACAGATTCTTCCATTTGGGGCAAGACGGAGACCCAGGGATGGACATAGACATCGTGGCCCTTCTTCTGTGTCTTCACAGCCATACTGGCAGTTTATCCTGGCACATGTCCTAGAGTCTGCAAAAGATGATAAGGATTATTATCCTGTGTTCCAAGATGATAAAAAAAATGGGTTACTAAGATCTTATTTCCAAATTTTGTGACATTGAATGTAACCTATGGGATTACCTTATATAGAACAAGTTTCATTGTCTGAGATCCAGATACAAAGTCAAAGGGAATCTGGACATGGTGGGAACTTGGTGGCCCCTAGGTTGAATCTCACTTGTGATCGGTTTTGTGGGTAAGCACACTGAATTTGACTATAGAAACATTATACAGCCTACGGACAGTCTCTACCCTTTTATGTGTACTCAGTCACTGCAGACACTTGGCTAGTCTCTCTAAGGTGAAAGTAGCTACTGATAGAGCTTACCAATTAGGATAAAAGAATCCATTCAAGAAGCCTTTCCATCTTGTAGCAATGAGAGTTATTTGAGGAATAACATCTGGTATATAGCTGATGAGCAGTTTGAGAACCATTAAGAATTCTCCTTTTCTTTTGATACTCTCACCATTGAGGAGGCTGGAAAGTTAGTTACTTCCTTCCATCTTCCATTGAATGAAGCAATGACCATGTAACTCAGTGGGCCAAAGAAGTGTAAAGAAAAGTGCAATGGGGAAAGTTGAGCATATGGAAAAGATGTTTAATGACAAAAAGGACCCACGTGAAAGAGTTGTTGATTTCCCAGCATCACCATTGTCCTCTTAGTTTTGCCTGTAATGTACCAGTGACACCTGGAGTGGAGGTAGCCCTATTGTTACTGTAAGGCAACAAACATGAGAATGAGATCAACATTCCAAGGATAGAAAGGACTGAATCCTTATTGTGCTACTCTGGAATTACTTGCCTCCTGCTTTTTTAGGAAATGAAATAATTTGGTTGGATTTTTCTGCCAGATGTTGCTAGATATAACGTATCTCACAAAAATGTATTTTCTTAGCAGGGGTCTAGTATATGTGAATCATAAAGGCAGAGTGGCTCAAAGAAGCAGCCATCTCTTGTAGTCACAGCTTAATGATGAGAACAGGGGATCCTGATACATAACCCCACCTGTCTCTCCTTTCCCATAACATGCCAATCACTCAGAAGGACAAAAGACACTACAAGGAGACAGGTGGGAAAAACCAGCCTTCAGGATGGGGGTGGGGTAAGTTCTACAGGTTAATAGTCTATTCCTAGATACATAAAAGCAGAAATAAAGCACTGGGATGGAAACTTAAATAATGTAAAAAATGCCTACTGATGGTTATATTACTTGTTTCTTCTTTTCTTCTTAGTTATCCTCTTTGAAACTTAATTTTAAAATTTGACACAATTCTATTCTTTCCACTTGGGGAAAGATACTTAAAAAAACTGGCACTGATTGAATTCTCAGGGAATGTTCCAGAAACATCCATTAGTGTATATCTTCCTAAAATTTTTAAGTGATCACTCTAAAAGCCTAGACAGTGATTTCTCTTGGAGAGGGCTGGAGAGAGAAGATTCTGGCAAAGTTCTCTTTGCTTGTAGTTACAAGAGTACTTGCCTTGTAGGACTTCATTAAGCTATGCATTTGTTTCATGTGGGTTTCTGTTTAGTTTATAAAAATAAGAATATTTGAAAGAGACAGTGTGGATACCTGCTTTATCTCTTAGACTTGTCGGCTAATTGCGGAGCTAAGTGGCTGGTGGTACAGGGGCATTTTTGCCAAAGAGTGACTGGACAAGGAGGAGCCAGGGGAAGCAAGCCACACACTAGGGAAGATTATCTAACCTTGGGAAAGCCCAGCATGGGCTGACAAGTCTGTGTGACTTGCAATCATAGGAAGCTAGCCTAAGCCAGCTGGTGTTTGTTGGGGGCTACAGGATGGAGGAAAGAGAGATGAGGAGGGAAAGGGGGAGGAGGGAAGGCAGGCAGGGAGCATGGGTTTGCCTTTCAGCTGCAACCTTAAACCTGCAAAGCCTCCCCTCTCAATAAATGAATGGGTATGGATGCTCATCCTCCCACAGGACAAGGGTTTTCTTTATCACAGAAGGGCTTTTTCTTTTCAGGAATGTGAGTCAGAATGCATTTCCAACCAGACTCACTAAGCTTTGGGAGTGGGGCAAGGGGCGTGAGAAAGGTAGCTGGAGGGTAGGATCGATGGCTCGAGATGGCATGTAAATTTATCACCTTCCTCAAACAATAATGTTCATTTTGTTCCTTGTGCTTACTTTCATGATGAAATCCAATCCTCCCCTCCCTATATTGAGATAGATAGAAAAACACAATTTATTTCCCCTAGTTAGTCTTTAAATTTTTTTGTACAAAGTAAGTGTCTAGAAGAAGCAAATCCATAGAGACACAAAGCAGATTAGTAGCTGCCAAGGGCGGTGAGGAGGGGGAGTGGGAAGTGACTGCTAATGGGAAAGCTTTCTTTCTGGGGTGATGAAAATCTTCTAGAACTTGATGGTAGTGGTGCTTGTACACATTGTGGAGGTATTGAATGCCATTGAATGGTCCACTTTAAAGTGGTTTAAATGGTGGGTTTCATATCAAGTCTATTTCACCATAATTAAAAAGGGTAACTGTGCAAAGATACTTGTGGCCGGGGCAATGTTACAGATTAAAAAAATAATAACCCAAGCAAGACTTTCCTATGCATCCAACAGGAAAAGACAACCCTCAGGTATTGGTGATGAGTGGTCTGGCTGTTACAACTTACTCATGCATGTGGCATCTGGCATGAGCATGTAGCCGCTGAGGCAAAAGCATTTGTAGCTGCCATGTGTATTCACACATCTATGTTGGCATGGCCGGGCTTTGACTCCACATTCATTCACATCTGCAGGGAGCAGTTAGAAAATGGAGAAACATTAATTAAATTGGGAAACTTCCAGATGGAGAATACTAGGTCTTGAGAAGGACAACTGGATTGGATTCTTAGGATCCTACCACTTTCTTCCTCTCAAATCATGAGATTCTATTTTGAAGGCCTGGTGAAGATGTAGAGTACATAGCATAAAAAGTCAACATTGAGGGCATGGAAATTGGTATGAGTACCCCGGTAAATTAGTATAATCTACTGAAGTTAGATATAAACATACCCATGACCCAGTAATTACTGTCCTGGGCACATATACCCAATAGAAATACCAAAAGAACATACACTAAAAATAATAATAAGCCCCAAACTAGAACCAATCCAACAGAAGAGTAGATAAATGTGCTCCATACTCATGTAAAAAATCCTACATAGCAATGAAATTGAACAAATTACAACCACAAGTAACAATGAATGATATGTAGTAGAAGAAGCTGGGTATGTGTGTACTATATACATACATATATATATATATATATATATATATATATATACACATACAAACACAGTATTATTCCATTTATATAAAGTTAAAAAGCAGTTGCAGCCAATCTGTGACAAATGAGGCCAGGATATGGCTTTCTTATTGAGTAGAAGTACTTGGACCAGGAAGTCTTTCTGGGTGGGGAAACTGCTAAGGTTTTGGTTTTGATCTGGATATGAGTTACATCATTTGTGACAATTTATTAAGTGTGTGTGCACGCACACACACACACACACACACACACACACATGTGCATATGTGCATGCTGGTACTGGGGGTTGGGCCTCGAACTTTGGCTTTACTTTTTCACTCAAGGCTGGTGTTCTACCATTTGAGCCACAGCTTTACTTCTGGCTTTTTGTTGGTTAATTGGTTATAAGAGCTCATAGAGTCCTGGACTAGCTTTGAATCACAGTCCTCAGATCTTAGTTTCCTGAGTAACTAGGATTACAGGTGTGAACCAGCAGGGCCTGAGAAGTTGTGTGCGATTTTTGATATATACAAAATTCTATGGGTATACTACTTGAATATACAATTTTAGATATTTCTGCCTTTAATGCTTTCCAAATTAGCTGATGGCAGATAGCAACAGTGATTTAGGTGGCTGTGAGCTGGCCCAATTGCATTGGCTCAGACCCTTCTAAAGGGAGCCTTGGCAGGCATCTAGGATGAGACTGGAGAACATTGAATGCTATGCAAAGATTTTTTTACAGGATGTTGTTAAGGGATAAGACACGTTCACAGAGCTGTGTATAAAGATCAACTACAAACTTGTAAAATAAACAACAGTAAAGTATATACGGAAGCAAAAACAAAAGCTTGAAGGATGTACTTCTAATGTAGCCATGGTTTGCCTTTCTTTTCTTTGTTTTTCAGTGTTTTCTGGAAAAAAAGTTTAAACTTCACAATTAGGTAACATTTTCCTTACAATAAAAAGTGACACAGAAGGAAAATACATTTTTAAAGGGATTATGGGTAAAGGATCTTGTCTTTGGCAATGTAATCATGTGTGAAGAGTATCATATTTTTAACCTCCCTAAGGAAGATACAGAAAGTATAAAACAACAAAACTTCATATAAGATAAAAATTCAGTATAGCAACTGGCAATGTTTGCTCTTGAGAAATAAAGACATGAATGCTATTTCTTTTGAAAAAGATAGGAAATTGCCAGTACTCTAATTGGACATTTCAAATTCCATTCTCCATTGCCTGTTACCGTACCATCTTCTTCACAGACCTTAACCACTTGAAGGGGGGGGGGGATTGGACATGCTGATCAGACATAATGGAAAACGCCAGGAATATTCCACGACTTGACTGTAACTTAGAGGTGACTGACTCATCTCTTGAAAAGAACATTTCGGGGAAAGCTATCAGAGGAAGGTTAAGGCCTGTCACATGAAAGGATATATGTGCTATGGGAGGGGAGGCTATGAGGGGAAGACAGACAATCCCACAACCTGAGCCAACTGGATCACTCCCTCAGTGTTAATAGCTTACTGGGATTTGAAAACTACCATGAAAAATATGGTCCATTCAAAACTGCTCGAGAAATTGCCTTGGTGTAGAATTCAAAGCAAATTTTCTGGGTTGAAACCTCTGGTGAGAGATACAACTGAATTAGCAGGGAGCATGTAATTCTTGACATACCTCTCTCAAGAAGTTGGTTCTAGCCAAGACAGGAGGCTGAGATCTGAGGATCAAGGTTAGAAACCAGCCTGGTCAGAAAAGTCTGAGGGACTCTTATCTCCAGTTAACTACCCCAAAGCTGGAAGTAGATGTATGGCTCAAGTGACTGAATTCCAATCTTGAGCAAAGAAGCCGAGGGACAGTGCCTGGGCCTTGAGTTCAAGCTCCAGGTCTGGCACACACAAAAAGCCTTTCATCAGGTATCTTGACAGAAACATCAGAATTTTTACACTTATCAATGAGAAAAGATTGACTGAAAGAATCTTGTCCTGAAGCCCCCCTATATTTGAAGATTTGAAATGTTGTGCACCATCTTTTGTTCCAACTCCCACCCCCTTCAGTGATCAAATTCATCCTATGAGCCTAAGCTGTTGTACTGACCTTGGCTGCAGGTTTTCCCAGTGTATCCTGGAAAACATCTACATTTGTTTGGTCCCACACACTCACCGAACTTGCATCCAGGTTCGCATACAGCTGTGAAAAACACAACAACAAAAAGATGTCCTGGTGTTTAAAGAACAGAGGCAGTTGTCAGTGAAATGAGCATACACCAAAGTCAGTTAGCTTCTGCATGGTGGAAAACTCATTGGGGGTTGTACAGTTTCCTCTGATTCCTCTTTCATCCATTTTCACCTTTCAGATACTGGACTTTCCCTTGTAAATAAGATGGAACCCTCCTACCCATCATCCAACAATTGCCAATTGAGTGTGCTGATTTGTGGAGCACCGCCACACCTTCAGGGATATTCAAAGACATTTTATAAAGCTCTTCCCCTTCGAGTCAGCCAGTTTTGCAGAGCAACAAGAGTCTGATCTGTAATGCCAGTTACTCAGGAAGATCAGCGTTCCCGGCTGCCCTGGGGGGAAAATGAGACTCTATCTGAAAAATAACCTAAAGCAAGAAGGTTTGGGGATTTGGCTCAAATGAAAGAGCATCAGACCACCAATATGAGGCCCTGCATTTAAACCCTAATATTACCAGAATGAAACAAAAAAGGAGTTTGGGCAGAAGAGACCTCACAGTAAGCCGGAGGGAAGTGCTAATGTCCTCCCTCTTCCTTCTGTCTCTTGCCTCTAGTTCTTTGTTTTTTTGGCAAGCCAAACTTTGGGGGTATACTTATCATTTCAGAGCTCCCTGTGGGATGAGGAGGAAGCTTAGACTTCTCTTGAAACCAGCCCTCTGCCTTGTTTCTTCCCTTGCTCCCTTTCTGCCCTGTAGATTTATAGAATTACTCTTAATGAAACAATTGCACAAACATTTCCTGATGCCAGATACAACATTAAAGTGTCTAAAAACATAGCTCTGATCATACCACATATTGCAGAGTTATCATGCAATTTTTATTGCCTCTTGACAGATGCTATAACTAAATGATCCCATTATGATCTGGTCTTCTTTTCCAGCTTTAATTTAAGCTGTCCCTGGACATAAACAACAGTAGATTGCCTACCATTCTCTAGATCTGTTTTTTGCTTTCTGCCTCTTTCTATGCGTTGCTACTCTCTCTCTCTCTCTCTCTCTCTCTCTGGAACATTGTCTCCAATAATGGTTAATGTCCTTCCCATCCTTCCAGGGCTATGTGACATGGCCTCTTCCAGAAGTCATCACAGATTTCTCCAGTCACATTTGAAATTCCGCCCAACTTTGGAAATTCTACAGAACGTTGGTGGGCTTCTCCTGTGCAATTGATCAGTCTTTATCTTATTAAAAAACTCAAGCATGATTTGACTTTTATTCTCAACTTCTGTCTACTACTTGGTTTGAAGTTTCACAAGAACTTCCTCATAGTTCCTCCTGCAGAATCTCCTATAGTGTGAACCTACTACATCTGCAAATATTTTTTTCTTTTTATAGTGCTGAGGATGGAATGCAGGCCTTCTTATATTCCAGGCAAGTGCTCTACCAGTAAGCAACACTTCTAACTCTTGGATTTTTCAGACACGCTCTCTTTATGTAGCCAAGAGATTGGTAGTCTCCTGCCTGCCCCTCCCAAGTAATGAGATTATAGCATGCACCACCATACCTGGGGCAAATATTTTTGGTTAGTCAATATAGTATACAACTTTTAGTAGGGGGACATTTAATATCTCTGAATTAATCATAAGTGAGAAGGTAGGGGACATTTTTCCTAGTAAAATCTTTCCACTTTAAGAGTCGAGTTAGAATTTAATTTCCAGTGTCTATTTTGTTATGGATATATACTTGGTGATGTAGCTTTAAGTTCAGATGTTAGAAAAATAAATCTCTTTCTAAGCCCCGAAGACTTCTGATTACTCCCTGGAAACTGATTTCCAACATGATCCAGACAGGAAAGCCCAGGATCAATGCCAAATAGTACATAGGAGAAATGGTGAATAATACCCTTGCTTTAAGGTCAAAGCTTCAGAAAGATGTTTTCAATTTACAGCAACTTGGGATCAGTGGCTTGGACAGCCAATCCACAGCAAAGAGAAATTCACTTTGTGTCTATAGTGGCTAGAGACTGAAGCATGTTTTATATAGCCCAATTCTCTTGTTCAGCTCACTTGCAACCCCTTCCAATGCAGCTTTTCATTAGGGATTTTTTTTGTGGATAACTCTTTATTCCATCTCATTAAAATGACAAGAATTTTAAGGTTTATGATATGGAGGTGATCAGACTGTGCCGGGAACAGATTCAGATGGGGCAGAGGTCAAGAGCTGGAAAGCTCCAAGGGGGAGGAAGGGCCTTGAGTGAAACAAAGAGTGAACAGATGAATGGAGGAGAAAAGTCTGTGTCTGATCATTCAGGCAAGTTGACATGTGCTCTCCTTCCTGTTCAGTCCACATTGTGGCTTAAAAATCAGAAACTCAGCAATCAAAGACTACTATTGTTATTTGATGCTTCAAGGGACATATGACTTTACTATCAGGAAAGACCATACATATCAGATAAGAACTAAGATCTAGATTTTAGAAAAGCCATTGCAACTTAAAACCAAAATACTGAACTAGTAGAGGTACCGACACTCTCTAAAGCTTGCAAAATATGCATATTGAACAATTTGCCTCAACCCTCTGAGACTGATCTTTTATCTTGCTTCAAAATCGTTCATGCTGGTAACATAACTATACACTCCATGAAAGCACTGAAAATGGGATTGGCTGCATATACTGTGGCCACACTGCTTTGATCCAGTTAAAGAATAGCTCTTGCAGAAATCCAAAGCTGCTTGCCCTCATTTATTTACCAATGGCATTCAGGGGTCTTACAAGTTTTATGGTAATAGTTGTTGAGTTCATGTGACGGTAAGCAAGATTTCAAATCATGTGTTACACATGGATTTTGCCCCTTTCCTCTTGACTGACTTCAAATAAAATGTGTTATGTTGTATGTAGAGAAAGAAAAAAAAGACATTTTTAATGCTCCTATCACCTGTGCTTTAAAGGACAGAATTCTGTGTTGAGAGTCGTTATCCCTTTCTGAATCAATGGTACTTAATGAGATGACTATTTTTTCTGTGTGCCAGGTAATAAGCACCCTCTTTTAATTCTTCTGCTATGGATTTTCTGATCGATGTTGCAGAGGAGGAAATGCAGCCTTAGTGGGATTACCTAGCTTGCCCAAGCTCACTCACATTGGTCTAGTTCACAATGCTCTTGATCATGACATTATGCATCCAGTCAGGGTAAGGATCTATCATTTTAACTTATACAGGTTCTATGAGGGAACCACTCTAATATTCTTTGAGTATATGAAGATCATATAGTTGTCAACACATCAGAAGGGATCTGTGATGGCATAAGATCTGTGTAGTATGGAACATGGATTTCACATGTCAAGTGCTAAATTTACCTACCTATGGTCAATCTGAATAGTTTTGGGCCAGCCAAAGAGGATGCAGTAAGGGCAGGAACAGACAAACAAGAAGATAGGTAGCACTGTTATTCCTAATATAGCAATTGATTGATCGATTGATTGATGATTGTCAGTCACAGGGCTTGAACTCATGACCTGAGTGCTGTCCATGGGCTTTTGTACTCAAAGCTACAGCTCCACCACTTTGAGCCACAATGCCACTTCTGGTTTTCTGGTGGCTAAGTGGAGATAAGTGTCTCATGGCCTTTCCTTCCCAGGGTGGCTGTGAACCATGATCCTCAGATTTCAGCCTTCTGAGTAGCTAGGATTACAGGTATGAACCACCGGCACCTAGCAGCATTTTATTTAAAAAAAATTGTGTGTGTGTCTGTACCAGTCCTGGGGCTTGAAATCAGGGTCTGGGCACTGTTCCTGAGTATTTTTGCTTAAGGATAGCACTCTACCACTGGAGCCACAGGTTCAATTACAGCTTTCTTGGTACTTACTTAGAAATGAGAGTATCATGAACTTTCCTGCTGTGGCTAGCTTCAATCTCTGATCCTTAGATGTCAGCGTCCTGAACAGCCAGGATTACAGGCATAAGCCACCAGTGCCTGGCTTTAAATTATATTTTATTATCTTTTTTTTGTCTGTTATGGGGCTTGAACTCGGCCTGGGCGCTATCTCTCAGCTCTTCAGCTCAAGGCGAACATGCTACCGCTTGAGCCACAGCACCACTTCGAGTTTTCTAGTGGTTTATTGGAGATAGGAGTCTCAAGGACTTTTCTGCCTGGGCTGGCTTTGAACCGTGATTCTCAGATCTTAGCCTCCTGAGTAGCTAGAATTATAGGCGTAAGTCATCGGCACCTGGCAATATATTTTATTATCTTTAAGTTGCTGAACCAAGGGTGTGCAATTCAACATGTCAGTTCATGAGTACAATTCATCCCAATCAATATCACCCTAAAATAAGATACATGTTGTTATGTTATTATTGAATAAATAAGGGATGAGAATCAGGCACTGACTACCTGATGGGAAGATGAGGAAAGAGAGAAAAGATTCTTATTCAGAAGGGATGCATGTCTATTCGGGTGGCTTGGAGAAATGTAGATTTGATTTTTCTCTACTAAAAATATCGATTATTATGGAAAGTCACATAAAGCAAAATACAGCCAAATGCTAAGCTCATTACTCCTCTTCCTAATTTTCTTTAAAACTACCAGAGGCCTTTCTCAGAGCTTGTAACACATCATCTGAGAAACTTCAGTCCTAGGCAGATAATCTTACTTTTCAATCTATATAAAAGAATCATAAAATACTTAAAATACTTGTATATGCATGTGTTTCCTGATACCATTTAGAAATAGACTTTTATGAATTTTAAAAATATGAGTAGCAAATCTCTAACTTAAACAGCATATTTTAAGCTGGGTACTTACTGTTGGCTCACACCTGTCATCCTAGCTACTCAGAAGGCTGAGATCTGAAGATTGCGGTTTGAAGCCAGCCCAGGCAGGAAGTTTGTGAGACTCTCATCTCCAACAAACTATGCAGAAAAAGCCAGAGCATTGTGCCTCAATTAGTAGAGTGCTAGCATTGAGCACAAAGAGGCTTAGAGACAGAGCCTAGGCCCTGGACTGGCAAAAAGGCATCTTTTTTGTAATCAAAGCCCATTGGTTGAGTAAGTAATAATCAAATTCACATTTTACTGTGCATCTGTAACCCCTCTGTACATCACCTTGACAATAAAATTAAATTTAAAAAAGGAATTAATTGGCCTGTTTTGGCCCATCTCAGTTTCTTCAGATCAAAAAAACAAAACAAAACAAACAACACAGTTAAACTTAATAAGATAGTAAAAGAAATGATTGGTAAGGCAGTCTCCTAAAGTAAGGTGTGATGGTATTAGCCACATACTGGGGAGGAAGAGATCTCACTGAGAATGAGACCTTGGGTATTGATAATTATCCATGTCCTGACCCTGGGAAATCTCCTGGTGATTTGATGATGTGCTTGTGGTGTTATAGCCAAAAACCAAAGAGCCTGACCCAAGTGCCAGGTGGTTTGAATTTTTATAAAAATTACCTTCACAGACTCCCTTGCTGTTCCTCTTCCAGCCATAGCAGCAGGCCAGTTTAGTTCCATAATGACACACCCCAGGCTGGCGTGCTAGGACTGACAACCCGTGATTCCTTGGACTGTGGATAAAGAACCACACATTAGTATTGGAAAAACAGAAAAGGTAATAGAGACTCCATACCTCTTTTGTTTCAACAGCCTTGAAGTTAGTGATAGATTCCATTTTGAAAACCTGAATTATGAAACTGGCAGTCTCCATACACCTTCCTTGCCAGCCTTTTTCAATAGCCTTGTCCATTTCCTCCTTCCTCAAGGTTAAAAGAATTGAAATTGACTTATATAGTCTATAAAGCTAAGTTATAGGAAAGTGACTAAATATGTTTGCTTTCATACCCGGTACTGTGCCACTTGTCCAATCTGCTCTGTATGGGCCCAGTGCCTCTCCAGTCTTGGCTCTATTTCAGTGCTGAGTGTGTTGATGTGACTAACTGGCCATGAGGTTTTGGCCCAGACAAGAACTCTGTGCTTTTACCTCATTGGCCACCTGGGAACCATCAAAAAGCCTAGAATCACTATGGACAGATAAGAATTGGTGATTTTTCTGCCAAATCATCTCACATTTCAGAGGAGAAAACTTCAGAGCCATAGAGTAGAAAGAGGCCTGTTCCCCACAGAACCAGGTACCCGGGACTCCAGACCAGGGCTTGCTCTCATTCCTCACAGCCTCCTGGAAACAAAATTTGCTAAACTCGATTGAGCAGGAGTCAGCAAACATTTTCTCTAAAGAGGCAGATGGCATACATTGGGGGGGACTCTGAGGGTCATAAGGTTCTTGTCCACATACAAAAGCATCCATTGGCCATAGTAAACAGATAGGCATAACTAGCCCAATAGAACTTTATATAGACAGCGAAATTTGAAGTTAATATGTTTTTCATGTGTTATGACATGGTATTTTGATGAATTCTTGAATATTTAGAAATGCAAAAATTGGCCTTAGCTCATAGGCTAAGTAAGGACAACCTAGCTTTAGTTTCAGGGTGGTAGCTTTCTGACCCTCTGATTTAGAGGTCTGAAGAGTGTCCCCCAGAAACTACATTAAGTAATGCAGATGGGGGATGAAGCTCTTTGCTTGCTTTTCAACTTAAAGTCATAGTCTTGACCGGGGTTGCTATCAAACTGGAAGAAAAAATTCACTTAGTGTATTTTATGGGGGGCTGTCGTTGATATTTCTCATGCATATTAAATGTGCTGTAAAAATGTTTCCTGGCTCTTTAATAGAAAAAATGCACCTTTTACCAGGTGCTTTCTGCAGCAGGACTGCATTTTATGCTAGTTAATAATATCTTAGGGAAGGTCACAGAGTTGGACAACCCTGTGAGTTTCACTCAGTGTCTGCTTCTCTTACAAACTTGTTTCTCAGTTAAGAGCTATAGGATACAGTTTGCAAGCACACAATGCAAGGATGATTTTATTGTTTGCTTATTTTGGAAGGGCGCTCTTTTTTATTGTAAAAATAAATTCCCAAGCCATTTTAGTCAGTCACTTAGGAAAAGGGTTTCTCAACCTCTACGTGACTTATACTTTAGATTAGACAATTCTTTGTTGCTGGGGGCTGTCTCATACAGTGTAGGCTGTTTAGCAGCATTCCTGGCCTCTGTCTAAAGAAGCCAGAAGTACACATCCCTCCAGTTATGACAATCAGAAACGACTCCAGGTATTGCAAAACCTTTCCTGGATGGCAAACTGATCTCCCATTAAAACGAAAACATCTATTGAGCATTTTCTGTGTTCCAAACACTTACTTAGGCACATGGAATAATGGGAAAATTTTGTCATCTTATGTTTATAGTTTATGTTTTAAACAGAAATACTTCAGCAAGAACAACATGGCAGGTTGTATTAGAATTCTGTGAGAATGATTTTTCCCCCCTTTGGTGGTGGGGTTTGAACACAAGGCCTTTACATACTAGTCAAGCACTCTTCATTACTGAATTACATTAAAAAGCCCAAGAAAGAGCTTTGACTGAGAAATAGTGCAGCTACATATCATGATCTAATCTATATATTGCTAACAATTCTACAAGGGATAATCATGATCTTGGCCATAGCCTACACATAATTACAATGTCCAAAGAAGCAGCCATGGATTACTAGACAGGAAAGTGTGCTGTGCAAATAAATGGTAGCCCAAACACTATGATGTCCTCCCAAATTTTATTTTATATTAATGTTTGAAAAATTAAGATATAAATCACATAACATAAAACGACCATTTTAAAGATTGTTTTTTAAGGTTGTTTGATATCATTTTCCTTCAGGAAAAAAATACTATGATGGCAGCACTTCAGATAATGGACTGGAAAGAGGCATATTGGGAGCAGGGATGTCAGTTGGCTCAGAAGACAGATTCTGGTTCTTTGCAGTGGAGTGAGGTAAGGAGAAATGGATGGGTTCTGGGTGGAACCAAAAAAAATAACCCCATGGTAATGGATTAGAGTTGTTCATTCACTTATTCATTCAACAATGATTTATTGACTATCTATAATGTTTCAAATCCTGGGTTAGTTTCCAGCCATCACCAACAAAAAGAGAAATACAATCATTGTCTTCATTGAGCTTGAATTCTACTCAGTTGGGTGTAGAATGTGGGAGAATGCAAATGGTAGAGTGCTGTTTCTGGAATGAGGCCTAATGTTGGAGGAATATGTTAAGAAGTAGAGTAATGATGACTTGGTTTGGGCCCATGTGGATTTAGAGTGATCATTGGCAGATGATATAAAGGAGACAAGTAGAAAGTTGGATAGTTGGACTTTGACAACAATGACTACTGTAACAAGTTGCTTTTATTAATGCAAGTCAGATTAGTGATATTAGATATGTTGAGAGGGGAGCCCGTGGAACTAGCACCAGTGGCTCACACCTACAATCCTAGCTATTGAGGAAGCTGAGATTATGAGGATCAAAGTTCAAAACCAGGCAGGCAGGAAAGTCCTTGAGACCATTATCTCCAAGAAGTCACCCAAAAGCTGGAAATGGAGCTGTGGTACAAGCCTTGAGGGAAAAAAATATGCTAAGAGACAATGCCCAGGCTCTGAGTTCAAGACCCAGGACTGGCACACACAAAAATGTGAGGCTGAATTTTATACTTCAACATAGGAACTGTACCAAAAGGATGAGTTCTTAGGAGCTAGAGAAAGATATAGTGGCTAGGTTGAGATGGGTGGGTGAGGGATTTTCTGGGAGAGAGGAAGCTGAAATGAATGGTGTGATGGAGAAGGGGCAGGGAGATAAGCAGGAGAAGGAAAGACAACGACTGTGTCTATGAGAAACAGTTTGTCCATCCTGAAGGCTCCAGAGAGCTATGGGGGGTTTCCAAGCAGTGAGAAATAGAGATTTTGCAACATATGCAACAACCTTCACAGATTTAAAGAGAGTTCAATAGCCTCCAACTAGATTTCTGAAATGGTTAGATATGAAGCTACACAAAAAACAGATGGAGATTTGTTGAAATCTGATATTATTTAAAAGACTAATTAGAAGCCATCCTAGGATCTCTAGTACAGGTGGCCAAGCGTATTTCCTATGTCCTCGTCAAATTCAATTAGTTTGGATTGCCAAGAATATCTCCCGGGGTTAGCAAAAAGTCGAAAGTTACCAGAAGATGAAATCCATGCACTGTTTGCACATGACCACAGCTCTCCAGAGAGATCCTTTCTCTCAAGCTTTATTACTTTCACATGCCTGCCTTCAGGTGAAAAGGCGAACCTAAGAAATCTGAGGTGGATTGATTTCTCCCAAGCCATCATTTTTGATGTCATACAAAGTGTCACTTATAAAACTCTCCAAAGTGTTAATGAGTGACACTTGGGTCATCAAAAACTTGTGAATAAAGTAATGTTCCTTATCCATAACAAGAAATTCCTTCAAATGCAACTTAGAATAATAGCTCTGTTGGAAGGTATCAGAATTTTGTTATCAAATCTAGTCTTAATTGCATTGGTTTAAAAATATATGAGCCAAGTTGCTCACCTTGAGCTGAAGAGCTGAGGGATAGCGCCCAGGCCCAGAGTTCAAAATGCATGACTGGCAAAAAATAATATATATACAGTGGCTCATGCCTTTTATCTTAGCTACTCAGGAGGCTGAGATCTGGAGGACTGAGGTTTAAAGCCATCCAGAGAAGAAATGTCAGTGAGACTTCATCTCCAAAAAAATCAGCAAGAACCTGGACTAGAGGCATGGCTCAAGTGGTAGAGTGGCAGCCAAGCAAGCAAGTTAGCTCAGCAAGTGAGAGATCCTGAGTTCAAACCCTATATGGGGGAGGGGGTGGGAGTTGTGTAAGAATCAATTCATATTTGAGAATTATAAAATGGATTTGGATAGAGAATTGAACAAATCAAAGCATACCAGTTCTACCCCTGGCAGCTCTGTGATTACATGTTCTATGCACATTTCCTGGAAGAGATCAGGCAGCTTGAATCAGAACTCTAGGAAAAACCAGCAGAGGAACAAGGGCCATAAATAAGCCACATGCCTTATAAGTGATAGGCGTGAGGTCCATGTATTCACCCAGTTTTGTGAGCTGGCTTCAAAGGGCCAGCCACAACTGAGATTTCACTGGCTTAATCATCAAATTCTACATCTGGACATGAAAAAGGGAAATTAGTTTAAAGGGGAAAATGATTAGTAGATAGAACTGCTAATACTTAACTTGTTGATTTGTAGTTGCTGGAGAAAATTGATTTATTACACCAAGAACTCAGTTTTGTGTTCTATGTTGCCATTTTAAAAATACACACATGCAATGATTTCAACATTTTAGATTAAAAAGAAAAATAATTATTAAATAATTATTAAAATGTTTGCTTAAGTTGAAACAAAATGGTCCAGGGGAAGGAAGAAATCCAGCACATATAAGCATGGCTTCAATATATTATTTTATTAAAAATATTAAAAACTGTTTAGAAAAAAGTTTTAACTTTTCTTTCTACAGAGCTCTCAAAGGATTTTCCAAGAAATGTAAGCAAATGATCAGGATTATTTTGCCAGCAATCTCTGCTTGCTCTTTGCTCTGATTTTGTACTCACTCCTTAGGTTTTCCATCACTAATTTGATA